GAAGCCGCGATCGGCTCAAAACGCACCCGAAGCCCTGCGCACCACGCATCCCACGTGCTGTATTGGGCGGTTTCGCAGAACGAACTCCAGGTAACAGCTGGACCCGAGGGCCCTTCCTCGTGCGACGGTGGCTCGTAGGCACGTGGCGAAGTCACAATGACTCGCCACCAGTCCATGGCGGGGCCCCTGAGTAGTGAAACCGCATACCAGATCTTGGCGGCGTCCGACTCGACGTAGTTGGCGTCGAAAAACACATTCATCGTGAAGACCCACGATTGAACTGTCGGGCCACCGCGTTGGCTTGGGTCGAAACAGGGTGGGCGTTGCGGCTTGAGTGGCATTGGGGCCATCATGGCGTTCTCGCCACTTGTCGCCGCAAACTCCACGTGCCGACGAGCTTCTCGGGGCTCCCGTGGGCTTAACGCGCTCCTGTTCCCTCCCATGCCGGGCATCGGCTGGGCGGCGCCGTCACTGGCTGCGCCTGAGCGTTGTCCCGTGCTGTTATGCTGCGTTGGTGTGCCGGATGAGATGACGATTGGCTCCTCTGAATGTGCAGATGCATTGGTTGGTGCGTGTGATGTCGTTGGTACGTTCACCGTTGACTGTTGGCGGGCAGAGTCACGTTCCGCCGTGAGTGTCGCGATTTCGAGTGCCGAATCCTCCAATTGACGCACGAGACGATCGAGTTGCTCCTGCGTCAATGTGGCGAGAGTGAAATCGGCCATGGCGGGGGTGTCGGGCAAGCTCAGCGAGAGCCTCAGTCGTGGCCGTGCGTGCTTTCGAGAGAGCACTACGAGCGGCAGTGCTGTGTCGCTGAGAGACGTCTACCCCCCCCAAAATTGAGATAGTGGGAAGCGAAGGTGTGGATGCGGTCCGAGATGAGATTGTAGGCTCTGAATACCAAGTGTTATGGGTGCAAATGAGTGAACGAACGAGAATTGCACTATCGAAGCAAGAGTACAATGAGCGAAGGCATGAGCGAACAATATATAGCGAAACTACAGTGGTAACGGTAATGGTCGCGCGACGAGCCTGTGACTGAGGTTGGAAAAGTGTCGAAGCGTAGGCCCGGAGCGCGGGTTACCAGCCGAGCCGTGAGGTCGGGATGCGATGTGCGAAAATGGCGGGATGATGAATGATGCGATGGTCGCGAGTGGTAACGGTGCTGACTGAGGTGCTACAGTGTTGTACGCGTTGAGCAGGGACGCGAAGTAAGGAAAAGGAAATTTCCTTACAGCGCCCGAACTTTCTGATGCTGTTCAGAATGGCGTTTTCACTTCCTCTTGATACTCCCACGGGATGTTGAAATTTTGTCGTTTATAACCCTCTCACATTCCAACTCTTCCTTCTCCCCACCTTAACTTGCCCAATCTATCCCAGCCACCTTTTGTAGGTACATGTATACCTCCCCGTACGCCTCGCACATCCCATGTCCCTTGATCCCGTACGGTATGCCTTTTCCAAGTTCCGACCCACCACCAGAGTCTAATGCTTCTCACAGCCTGATTCCCTCCCTCCCCCCACTACCCCTCCCCCTCCCCCCACCACCCCCCGTCCCCCCCCCCCCCCCCCCTCCCCTCCCCCGCTCATCACCAAGTTCAGCTTTTCAGACCCTCGCACCTCTCTCTGCCCAGCCCCCCCAGTCCCTCGCGTCACCCCCTGCCCAAGTCCCCCAGTCCCTCGCATCTCTCCCTGCCCAACTGCCCCAGTCCCTCACATCTCCCCCTGCCCAACTGCCCTAGTCCCTCGCATCTCCCCCTGCCCAACTCCCCCAGTCCCTCGCTCGCACCTCTCCCTGCCCAACTCCCATAATACCTCATGATTATCACAAAGTTACAGCCCCCCCCACCCCACCCTCTCCCACCCTGCTTCTCTTCCTCCTCTTCACTGCCCCCCTCCATCCTCCCCCCCTCCAAGTGCTTCGCGCCTCTTCCAATCCAACTCCCTATGTCACTTGCGCCTCTTCCACCTCCCAATTCCCTATTCGTCTCGTTTCTTGCAACCCAGCCCTTTTCTCGCACCTTTCACCACTCACCCCGTCCTGCAGACAATCTTGCCCTTGCATTAAAAAACGTCCCCCTTTCCCTCAGCAAATCCCTAGAAACCTCTTCCAAATTCCTCACTACTAGCAAGCAACCTAACACCTCCCCCACTCCCCCCGAGTTCACACTACCAACCAGAAGTACTACTAACAACCCTGAGTACTCAGTCAGACCTCCATCCACGTGAACACTGAATGGCAGCCTACCTTGCCAGCCTGCTCCCATCATTCAACCATTACACATGGCTACAGTAGGTACTGGAAGGTGCAAGGAAAAAAACACTCAATAATGTAGCATGATTATGCACCAATAACGAACGAATTAATGCCTGGAAGGACCAGCTTCACTTTTTCTAGTGTGTGGTGATCGCTAACTCCTACGTTTTCGAGGCAAGGGAATGCTTTCAAGCATTCAACAAAAAACTGAAACCTCAGCAACAGAGTCTTGAGCGACCTGAAACACTTTAGGTATTCCATCCCCCGATAGGTAATATTTGGGGGGAGGCTAAGCCATCTTAACTTGACCAGAGGGGTAAGGCACCATAGCCCGTAATCACACACCTGCGTATTAGCAATATCCAGGTGCTCCAGATTTCCCAGCTTTCCCATATATACCATGCTGTCAGACGTAAAGCTCCCCCCCAACAACTGCTGAGACAGAACAAGACTCTGTAACGAGGACAGGGTTGTGAGGTTAGCAAGCCCATTACCTGACATTGGAGTATCACGCAACTCCAGATGGCGAAGGGCTTTAAGATTCGCGATTTCAGACAACAAGGGCTCGGAAACAGATTCCAGTCTCAGCTCTTCCAGCCATGTCATGGGGTAGAGGTGCAGAAGAGTAGGCTTTTCGAGATTCCCAATAACGGAGATGCTCTTGAGGGATTGCATGCAGGAGAGACGCAGGAAACTGAAGAGTGTCACGTGAGAAGGGTCATTGAGCGTGATTTCGGTGGTTCCAGGGTGGAGACTGATTATCTGCTTGTCCTACTCTGTGAGAAGCTGACGAACGGCTTCCGGAATTGCCTGAAAGTATGGCAGGAATGAGTGTGCGGAATAATAAGACACCATGGTGCGGCTTACCATCAACTATGGTGCGGAAAAATCAGCAATAATGGTGCGAAATGATCAGCAACCACAAAACGACGGGAACCCCTTCCGAGTTCCATGACACGCAATCAGAGTGGCGACTTTCGCGACGTCTCACCTCCCAGACCTTCCGCATCTCCTCCTTCCGCTGAGCCAGCGCTTCCTCTGCATCCGCCAGGCGCGCTGACAACGCATGCACCTCCATTTCCTTATCCTCCCTTGCAGCCCTCTCCCGTGCTAGGTCATCCTCTAACCGTCGAATGCTTGACCTACTCGCTTCTCTGTCTTCAACCAGGGTCTGTTCAATAGTTTCCACCTTCTTGCTAAGGACAGTCAACGGCTCCTTAAGCCTGACAACGGTGTCGTCCGTTTCAATTTTGTGCCGTTTGCATTCCTCCGAATCCCCCCTCGCGTCGTCTAAAACGGAATATTCCGTGTCAAATCCTCGCTTCGCCATTGGTCCGATCTGTCAATTATAAATGGAACGGAGTCGCAAGCGCTATGTCCTACAAGATTGATAGCAAAGCGTTTCGCTTTATGGAATGGAAAAAAACGGTATCTGATTGTTGAGGTGTGTGGGAGCAAGAAGCTGACGACGGCTCGCATACGAAACAGACGAATTCAAACCATAGTACAAGGTAACCTAATTCGAAGGACAATAGCAGACACTGGCTGTTCAGCCTCTGATGGTGTAACTCACTGATATGAGACTCCAGCTGCTTCTGCTTGTGAATGGGATAGGTGCTGTTGGTGAATGAAGGGAATGGCTAGGCAAGGATGAGAGTTGTTTGCTGAGGGCGTGACCAGTCATGTTGTGAGGAACGGACCCTCGCATCACAGCCCCTGAGCTCGTCTAAGGGCGTGTTACATCCTTCATTTATGATCGTCTGGACAGCTGACTCTCCGGATTTTGTAGGGTTACTAGAACAACAGAAATACGGTATCGAATATATGCAAGACGAGTTTGGCTACCCTATAAACGACCGGGCAGCCGGCTGTCCGTACCGTCAAAAACAAAAACTCTAACACGCCCTGAAACCTTCTACACCCGAAAAGTACTACACTCTGCAGGAATGCCAAATTCCTTACAGTACACTCCGTGGATTCAACTCTGTAGAATCGGCCTACACTACAGAACATGTGGAACTTTCAGACTACTATTACTGGTTCTACTGATAAATGTAAGACCATGCTTTGACGTTTCAGCACATGGTGGATAAGTAGATTAGGGTAAACAAAGCAACAAGCCAACCCACAACCTATTTACTGTACAGTCATATCCATTGTTAAGATACCTAAAAATCTCAATGTTACGACGGTATCTCTTAGCGATCAACATGCCGCAAGTATCTCCGCGCCTCACACTGTACAATCGCTTGGTTGAACATGTATTGCCAGATAACGGCCGGCCGTCAACACTGGCCACACAAATCTGTGAGTCAACCATCAGTGAGGAACAGGATGGAAGGGGAAGAAAAAGAAACTGCGTTGAATAACCTTCACACACAAAGGCAGAGACAGAGACGGAGACAGAGGCGAAGACAGAGACGGAGACAGAGACAGAGGCAGAGGCAGAGACAGAGACAGAGGCAGAGGCAGAGACATCGACAGTGGCACCAGACACAGGCACTAGCACAGGCACAGGTACGATTTGCAGCGTATATTGTATAACCTCCTTCCCCTGCACCCCACACAGACCTTTCCGACTCACCCGACTCATCATGTTTCCCTGCAGGGGGCTGTGCAGCAGCAGCGAGTCGCACGAGAGGCCGGGATTCATCTGGAAGAAGCGCGTGGAGAAGGCGATGGCAAACGCTGCGCGTCTCCCCACTTGCCCCCCCACCCACCGCACACAGGCGACCCAACTCACCCTTGTCATCATATTGCCCTGCAGGGGGCTGTACGGCAGCAGTGCATCGCACGAGAGGCCCTGATTCATCTGGAAGAAGCGCGAGGGAGAGGCGACGCCAAATGCCCGCCACAGCTGCTGGCAGCTCTGCGGGCCTGGTAGCACAGTCACGGGCACACCTAGGATCGTGTAGTTGGCTGGAGGCGGAGGAGGAAGGGGTGGTTGAGGGCTGGGTGGGGTTGGGGATGGGGTTGGTGTCACGGCTGGGGTGATTTGAGCCTGGAGCTTGCATGATATGCGGGTTCTTCCCTCCTCTAGCCACGTCTGGTTGGAGTTGACGCAGAGGAGCTGGGAAGGAGGGAGGGGGGAGAACACGGGGGTGGTTGAGGGCTGTTGATGGGGTTGTTGTGGATACTGCCGGGGTGATTTGGGCTTGGAGTTTGCATGATATGCGGGTTTTATCCTCGCCTAGCCACGTCTGGTTGAAGGCTACGCAGAGGAGCTGTGAAGGAGGGAGGGAGGAGAACGGGAGAGAGGGGGAGAGGGGGGAGAGGGGGGAGAAAGGGAGAGAAGGAGGAGAAAGAGGGAGAGGGAGGAGAAAGGGGGAGAGGGAGGCAAAAGGGGGAGAGGGAGGAGAAAGGGAGAGAAGGAAGATGGGGGAGAGGGGGGAGATGAATGTGTGAAGAAAACGTGGAGAAGGGGGAAGAGGGGAGGAGAAGGAGGAGATGGATGAGAATGGGGGAGTGGGAAGAGAGAGGGAATAGGAATGTGTGAACACACTCCCGTTTCTGTGGAGATCTAGTTTGGAGAACAAATTGTGTGATGTGACATGATGCAATGCCATTTAATGTGATGTGATCTCATGCGATGCGATGCGATGTGATGTAGTTTTGATGAGCAGTAGCCAATCAAGGGCTTTAATGACCAACCATTCATATCTCAAGCAGTAATATCTCAAACTAGCAGATTCAAAGAGCGGGCATTCACACCCTGGCGAAATTAGCGGAAAACAGCTTCAAATGTGAGCATTCAGATCCTAGACAGCTGTATAAAGATGTGCTGCCCTGATGATGTGTCATTGTCACGTGTAGCGAGGGTGTATTTGAGACGTCTCAAAAACACCTTCGCTACAAATTAACGGAAAACAGCTTCAAGTGCGAGCATTCAGATCCTAGACACCTGTATAAAGATGTGCTGCCCTAATGATCTTTGAGTCGACTCAAAAGTCACCCTGATTCCAAAGACCTGTATAAAGAGGGGCTACCCTGATGATCTGTCACTGCAGCAGCATCAGTTAACACCGTACCTGCCTTCTCTTGCACCCACCTACACTCACCTCCACCTACACCCCCCTTGACCAACCTACACTCACCAACACCCACCTCCACCCCTCAAGACCCACCAACACATACCTGCAGCAAGCACTCACCTGAGTATCTGCACTCACACTCACATGCACTCACCTAACTCACTTGCACCCACCTGCACCTGCACCCACCTGCACCTGCAACCACCTGCACCTGCACCCACCTGCACCCACCTGCACCGATGCTCACCTGGCCGGGCCTGGGTCCGTCGGAGCAGGTGAGGGCGGGGTTGATCGGCTGTATCTGCGTGGAGAAGAGGGCGTTGAGTGAGTCACACATGTCACCCTGCCGTTACACACACACACATCACGTAAGGTACAGCAGGAAGTGGGAGAGAAAGCGCTGTTATTGGAGGATCGAGTTGAGCAGCTGGGATTGAATAGAGAATAGGGGGTTAATGGATTCACACTTGCCAACCTGCACACACACAGGGACCGAGGATGGGGGTGGGAAGATGGAGGGAGTAGGGTTCTTGAGGCAAGTGGTGGGAAGGCAAACACTCGCAGGGAAAGAGGTGAGTGAGTGGCAGGGAAAGAGTGTTAGATTATAGCATCAGTTGAGTTGTACATGTGCAAGTGTAACACCCAAACATGGGTGTACACTTTGGGCCAAGGCGGCCCAACCAGTTGTGGCTGGGCGCGTCCCAACCCCTCTCTGCCACAATTGGCGGGGGGAACCAGGCCCCCCAATAATTGGCAGCCACCTCCAAAACATTATTGGTGGCCACTCCCATTGGCTCACCAATAATGTTGCGCGTACCCAACCTGGGTACCCCACTTCTCATCGCTTATATGTACCCACGATCCTTCTAATCAAATCAACTCTTGAGTTCACCGCTCATCCCAACTATGGGATTCTCACAAAGAGGCGAGTGAGTCGCGGGGAAAGAGGTGAGTGAGTCGCGGGGAAAGAGGTGAGTGAGTTGCGGGGAAAGAGGTGAGTAAGTCGCGGGGAAAGAGGTGAGTGAGTCGCGGGGAAAGAGGTGAGTGAGTCGCGGGGAAAGAGGTGAGTGCGTCGCGGGGAAAGAGGTGAGTGAGTCGCGGGGAAAGAGGTGAGTGAGTCGCGGGGAAAGAGGTGAGTGCGTCGCGGGGAAAGAGGTGAGTGAGTCGCGGGGAAAGAGGTGAGTGAGTGGCAGGGAGAGAGGTGAGTGAGTCGCGGGGAAAGAGATGAGTGAGTGGCAGGGAGAGAGGTGAAAGAGGTGAGTCAGTGGCAGGGAAAGAGGTGAGTGAGCGGCAGGGAACGAGGTGAGTGAGCGGCAGGGAAAGAGGTGAGTGAGTGGCAGGGAAAGAGAAAGGAGGGCGTTGGGGGACGAGTCGTACTAGTTACCCTGCCGGCACACATGGAGGGAGGGGAGGGGGGGATGAAGGGAGTGAGCAGACGGAGGGAGGGGGCAGATGGAGGGAGTGTGAATGGAGGGAGGGGAGGGGAAACTGCAAATACAGGCTGAGATTCAGAATGAGCAGTGATGAGGGTGGCAAGTTTTGAGGTTAGGCTGAAAGGCACTTATATAAACCCACTGGCACTTACATAAACGCACTGGCACTTATATAAACGCACTGGAAAATACTGCGACACAATGGCACGTACATAATTAGCGGTGTACATGGAAGTGCATTGGGAGAAAGCCCGGCTGGTGATGTTGACCAGAGTGTCTACAGGGATGGGCGCTCTGCATTGAAAGCCCTGCAGTCAGAACAAGGAGAGATGGAGGATGACCTTTGAGTTGACTCAAATGTACATGGCAGTGCGTTGAGAGAAAGCCCAGCTGGAGAAAGCATGGCAATGAGGTGCAGGTGACTAGAAAAAGGGGCAGGTGAGGTGACTAGAAAGGGGGCAGTATAAAAGGCTATGCGTTTGCGTGATGCCACACGATCCGATCCGATCCGATCAGATCCGATGTAACTTGTAGCATCCTGAATTGATAGGTAGTTGTGAAACCTGTCAAAAGCTTGACCTTGTTTTGGCTGAAGACCTTTAGCCTGTGTGAGTCACAGGCCTAAAAACTGTTGAAGACTTTTTTGGCGGCTCAAAAATAGTTGAGGATTGAAAAACAAGAGAGCGGGCATTTGAGATAAAGAGATGCGATGCAATGTCACCTGATGATGATGTGATGTGATGTGATGTGATGTGATGAGAAACATGCTGACCCACCAACCACAGCCGAGCCTATGTTGAGAATCCGCACAAGTGATGAGATGTGAAACGTGCTGACTCCCCAACCACAGCCTCAACCTCCCTTCCGCTTAACACCCCTCCCTAACCAAAGCCTTTCAGGTAATGTTTCAACTGAAATGCCTTTCAGATCTAAACAAAGCACAGCATACACCTACCTTCAGTTCAACTCCGGACCTTGTTTTGGGCGAAGAAGTCTGCTTGGGTGAGCCCGTATGTGTTGAGGATGAGCGCGCATGTGAGGCCGTATGGCGACAGAAAGGTGGGCATTCGAGTCTCAGCCAATCGCACTGCATGCACGGGGTAAGCATACATGGGGTAAGCATGCATGGGGTAAGCATGCATGGGGTAGGCATGCATGGGGTAGGCATGCACGGGGTAGGCATGCATGGGGTGAGCATGCATGGGGTAAGCATGCACGGGGTAAGCATGCATGGGGTAAGCATACATGGGGTAAGCATGCATGGGGTAAGCATGCATGGGGTAAGCATGCATGGGGTAGGCATGCATGGGGTAGGCATGCACGGGGTAGGCATGCATGGGGTGAGCATGCATGGGGAAATAACGATAGCGATATATAAGTCCATGGGATGAGCCAATAAGATGTAAGCACAGGAGATACGAGGTCCATGTGATGTGCTGAGAGCCGCTGCAAGCAAGACCAGCTGACCGTGTGGTACGCATGCTGGTAACAGTGGGCAGCGCCTTTGGGGTAGAAGTAGACGGGAAAGAAGGGCGAGGGGCAAAGGCTGGTAGAAGCAAGCAATCAAGCAAGCAAGGAAGCAAGCAAGCAAGCAAGACCATCTGACAAGTGATACGCACACTGGTAACAGTGGGCAGCGCCTTTGGGGTAGAAGTGAACGGGAAAGAAGGGCGAGGGGCAAAGGCTGGTAGAAGCAAGCAATCAAGCAAGCAAGGAAGCAAGCAAGCAAGCAAGACCATCTGACAAGTGATACGCACACTGGTAACAGTGGGCAGCGCCTTTGGGGTAGAAGTGAACGGGAAAGAAGGGCGAGGGGCAAAGGCTGGTAGAAGCAAGCAATCAAGCAAGCAAGGAAGCAAGCAAGCAAGCAAGACCATCTGACAAGTGATACGCACACTGGTAACAGTGGGCAGCGCCTTTGGGGTAGAAGTGAACGGGAAAGAAGGGCGAGGGGCAAAGGCTGGTAGAAGCAAGCAATCAAGCAAGCAAGGAAGCAAGCAAGCAAGCAAGACCATCTGACAAGTGATACGCACACTGGTAACAGTGGGCAGCGCCTTTGGGGTAGAAGTGAACGGGAAAGAAGGGCGAGGGGCAAAGGCTGGTAGAAGCAAGCAATCAAGCAAGCAAGCGAGCAAGGAAGCAAGCAAGCGAGGCAAGCAAGACCATCTGACAAGTGATACGCACACTGGTAACAGCGGGCAGCGCCTTTGGGATAGAAATAGAAGGGGAAGAAGGGCGAGGGGCAGAGGCAGGAGTAGGTGCCGTCTACGTCATCAATGCACACCCCCGGGGCACACGGGTTGCGGGGGAACTGGCGACACGTGAAGGAATCTGTTTAAGGGAGGGGGGGAAGGGGAATGAGAATCGGGGGAGCAGAGTGGAAAGAGAGCAGGAGTGAGTGAGCAGCACAGGCGCACAACATCGATGCACACCCCCAGGAGCACATGGGAGAAAGGTAGAGTTTTGAGACGTCTCACAACTCTACTTATAGCAAGTGAGTGAGCAGCACAGCAGCACACCATTGATCCAAATCCCTGATAACAGGGAAGGAACATCAGGGGTACACATGGGTTGTGGAAGAGCTAATGACACGTGAAGGAATCTAGTGAGAGGTTGAGGGGAAAAGGGGACAGCGGGAAAATGGGACAGGGGGACAAGGGGGCAAGCGGAAAGGGAGATGGAGAACGAGAAAAGAGGAGTAAGGGGAAGACACGGGAAGGGGAAAGGCGGTGGGTGGGAAAGGAGGGGAAACGAGAAAGAAGGGTATTGCAGGAGCGGACATAGCGCATTAGAGTGCAAACCATTTGTAAAATTTCAACAGAAAAAAAGAAAAAGAAAAAAAAAAAGAGTAGGTTGATTAAAGATTTAGTAGTACAAACTTTTTCATTTTCTGAAGAATGTTGTGGATCTAGAATGAGTGCATGCGCAAAAAACTATATCATCCACAAACAAACCAAAAGGGCACCTAGTGCATCCACCTCTCACCCACTGCGCTCTGCCTCTCACCTACCGCACTCCACCTCTCATCTACTGCACTCCACCTCTCACCTACTGCACTCCATCTCTCACCTACTGCACTCCACCTCTTGCCTACAGCACCCCACCTCGTGCCTACCGCACTCCACCTCTTGCCTACCACACTCCACGTCTCACCAGGGAAGCAGGAGGGCAGGCCGGAGAGGTGGGAGGGTTGGAAGGAGGGGAGCTTCAAGGGGCACTTGCAGGAGGGCACGAGGATAGACGGGTCCCACGGGGCACGTGCCTTGGTGCATGCACCCATGCCACAGGGCAGCACCGGAGAACCCTTGCAGGGGTCGGTGTCTGTTGGGGGGGAGGGAAAACGAGAACAAGGAATATTTGAGAGAGAAGGTGTGATACACAAGGTAAACGAATCCCATGGGGCAGGTGCCTTGGTGCAAGGGGATACGTGGGGTTGAAGGGAATACGTGGGGGTGCAAGGGGATACGTGGGAATGCAAGGGGATACGTGGGAATGCAAGGGGATACGTGGGGTTGCAAGGGGGATACGCGGGAATGCAAGGGGATACGTGGGGTTGCAAGGGGGATACGCGGGGGTCTGTGCGGTTACAGGAACGAAAATCCTCCCTCCGCTCTCCTCTCCCTCCCTACCTGTGAATCGGAAGGTCCAGGAGGAGAGGGCGACGGGGGAAGGCAGGGCACGTGGCTCACTAGCCCTTCTCTCTTTCCTACCCCCCATCTCGCCCACTTCCCCTCCCCCCTACCTGTGAATCGGAAGGTCCAGGAGGAGAGGGCGACAGGGGAAGGCAGGGCACGTGGCTCACTAGCCCTTCTCTCTTTCCTACCCCCCATCTCGCCCACTTCCCCTCCCCCCTACCTGTGAATCGGAAGGTCCAGGAGGAGAGGGCGACGGGGGAAGGCAGGGCACGTGGCTCACTAGCCCTTCTCTCTTTCCTACCCCCCATCTCGCCCACTTCCCCTCCCCCCTACCTGTGAATCGGAAGGTCCAGGAGGAGAGGGCGACAGGGGAAGGCAGGGCACGTGGCTCACTAGCCCTTCTCTCTTTCCTACCCCCCATCTCGCCCACTTCCCCTCCCCCCTACCTGTGAATCGGAAGGTCCAGGAGGAGAGGGCGACGGGGGAAGGCAGGGCACGTGGCTCACTAGCCCTTCTCTCTTTCCTACCCCCCATCTCGCCCACTTCCCCTCCCCCCTACCTGTGAATCGGAAGGTCCAGGAGGAGAGGGCGACGGGGGAAGGCAGGGCACGTGGCTCACTAGCCCTTCTCTCTTTCCTACCCCCCATCTCGCCCACTTCCCCTCCCCCCTACCTGTGAATCGGAAGGTCCAGGAGGAGAGAACGGCGGGGGAAGGCAGGCGGCCAGGGGGGGGAGGGAGAGCAGCGCTGGTGAACCCAACGACCAGCTGCCCAAAGGATGGTGACGACAGGTCCGTTGCACTGCTGTCACTGCTGCTGCTGCTGCTGCTGCTGCTGCTGCTGCTGCTGCTGCTGCTGCTGTTGCTGCCACTTGTGGTGGTGGTGGTGGTAGTGGTGCTGCTGCTGCCGCTGCCGCTGCTGCCACTGCCACTACCACTGCCGCCGCCGCCGCCACTGCTGCTTCCACTGGCAGCAGAGGGCCCAGTGAGAGCAGCACAGAGGTCAAGAGAGACGTTCAAGCTGCCTACCAGAACAGGGGGTTGGTACCATCTGATCAGCATCTCCTTGCTCCTCCCGTTATAGTCAACCCTCATCTGCAACACCTCCTCAGGCTCCACGACAGTTGACAACTTCCCCGTAAAAATCGAAGTCATGTTGAAGTCAGTGTTAACGCCAAAGTGTATAGTATATACATCGTCCATATCCGGGTGCCAAAACACAGCTACACTCCGCGCGCCGTCCGGCCAGCTGCCATTAGAGAGTCGCAAGGATGGGTCCCGGCCATACCCCATATAAAGCCCGCCTAGGCCCAGGGTCGCATGAGTGCTTATAACGAACGCGAGCCCTTGGGAAGCAGATACATTTAGGGAAAAGCCGTATGTGAAGGTGAAAGAGCGAGCCATGCAGGTTGGGGATTCGGTTGCTGTGGGTTGGGGAAAAGGGGAGGAAGGAGAGGAATGGGGGGAGCTACGAGGACGACGAGGAGGAGGAGGAGGTGGGAAGGGAGGGGAGGAGGAGGAGTAGAGGAGGGGGAGACGGCGAGGGAAGTAGATGGCTCCAGGGGGGGGATCGTCTGATTGGCCGCTGGATGATGCCACATCAGCAGCGACGGAGAGATCGGCGGCGAAGAAGCGTTTCCTGGTGCTGCCACGTGTCAGCAGGGGAGTGGCTGGCGTGATGTAGGGGAAGGAGAACGAGTCTGCCGTCCAAAACGGAAGCTGATCCTCCGCTGCTGGGGTTGGCATGGTATGGGGGTGGGGGCAGTGGGGGGAGGGTTAGGCATGAGCAAATGTTCAATCTTAGGCTAGGATGTGGACCGTGGGACAATGGAACTATGGTAGGTAGGTTCCATGGAGGTTCGCTCCTCCTTTTCACCACCCACCAAAACGGCAGCGAATTTGTTGCAGAAGAGGGTTGGCATTGTACGTGAGACATGGGGGGGGGGAGATGAGAGGGGGGGGAGATGACAGGGGGGGGGAGATGACAGGGGGGGCCGAGTTGTGGGGTGTGTGAGTTCCCGCTTTGCCCACACCATGGGGAGTCATGGGTGTTGTAATTGTATATTATATACAACATACATAGACTAGAATAGGTGTAGTCCTTCATGTTCTTGGGGGGTTGGATGTACACTCCAACCACACTTAGTGATTGGTCAAGATTGGATTTGGTCATGATGGTCCTTGGTTGGCACTTGCCAACCTTTGGTCCTTGGACCAACCAATCCCAACCTAGCTACATTGTAAGGTTTCTTACTCCACAAGGCACCTCACCCATTGGCCAACTTAGTGGCCAATAGGGTTAACTTCTCCTCCACTCTTCTCTTTCCTACATGCTTGTATTATAGAGCCTTGTTGGCTAATTACTCAATACAATCTTGAATTCTCACATGGTATCAGAGCCAAATGGCTCACGCCGTCCTCCTTCGATCCTTAGGCTATAATCTCCTCTCCGCTCCTCTACCCTAGTGGACTGTGACCTACATCCACCCTCCCACACCTCAGATCTAGCCTCCCACGACGTGCGCGCCGACGCGGACGACCTGCACGCCGACGCGGACGACCTGCACGCCGACGCGGACGGCCAAGCACGGCGCTGTCAACGACCTGCGCGCCGACGCCAACGATCAGCGCGGCGCCGTCCACGACCTGCGCGCCGACGTCGACGGTCAGCGCGGCGCCACGAACGCCCCGCGCCGACGCAGACGGCCTGCGCGTCGACGCGGCCGACCTGCGCCCCGACGCGGACGACCAGCGCGCCGACGCGGACGGCTGACCAAAGTTGCCACGACCTCCTCCTTCACTCGCGCCCTGCCCCACACTTCTGCACCAGCCTCCCCCTCCTACCTCCTCCCCCCACTCCACCCTTAACGGTACATCAACGGCACCAGCATTGGCACCTTCAACGGCACCATCAACAGCACCGTCAACGGCATCATCAGCGGCATCGTCAACAGCACCAGCAGCGGCACCATCAGCGACACCAGCAGCGGCACCGTCAACGGCACCAGCAGCGGCACCGTCAACGGCACCAGCAGCGGCACCGTCAACTGCACCAGCAGCGGCATCGTCAACGGCACCAGCAGCGGCATCGTCAACGGCACCAGCAGCGGCACCGTCAACGGCTCCAGCAGCGGCACCGTCAACGGCACCAGCAACGGCACCGTCAACGGCCCCAGCAGCGACACCGTCAACAGCACCAGCAGCGGCACGTTCACCGCTTCACCATCATGGTGTCGTCAGACTCATCGGTCGACTTGGCGGCCATCAACACTCTCGAGTTGTTGGGCGACAACTCGGCCGCCAACTGGCACTCTTATGCCCACTCCGTCGAGGTGCTGCTCTCCTCAGTCATCGTCAGTGGATATACCCTTCGTTCCGTCGTGTTCCAGGAGGAGGGTGGACTCCAGCCCATCGCCCCTTCCGCCCCCTCCGGACCTGCTCCCAACGAGCCCGGACCCGTGCCCGAGCCTTCTGGTGATCCTCCCTCTTTCGCACCGAATGTCAACAACCCACAAAGCGTGGAGACTGCCATTCGTGCCTACCGCACCACACTGAACGACCACCTTCGCCGTCAACTGCGCCTTGAGGACGACAAGCGCACTTACGACGATGCTGCTGCCCGCCACCGCGAATACCTAGCCCAGCTCGCCACTTACACTACACGCCTCGCCACCTACACCACCGACATCGTTGCGTGGCGCATTGCTGATCGTCGAACTCTCGCCATCCTCCTCGCCACTATACTATCCCAACCTCCCTCAAACAAGAGCTCTCACCCACCTCCTCCTCCCACCTGTGGCAACTGCTTGTCAACCTCTTTGACAGGAAGGACATTGCCACTCTCTATGCACTCATCAAGGAATTCAGATCTAGGCATGATCATTAGGCCCGACCCGACCCGACCCGACCCGACTTGGGCGGGCCAGCCGGGTTCCGGGTCGGGTCGGGTCGGGTCGGAACTTCTAGGAATCCTGGCCCGACCCGGGTATCGGGTGCCGGGTCAGGCGTGACCCGCCCTCGGGTCGGGTCGGGTAGGGGCCGGGTCGGGTCGGGTCGGGCCAGAACCCCATATGCAGTGTAAGAGGTTCTCCTCACTACTGTCCAGTGTTGCAAAGATTGAACGTTTGCTTAAAGTGGAGTCGCGACGTTAGAGGAAGTGCGCAGCCCTAGACTATGGGGGTCGCGTCCCTATTGATGCGGGCCTGGTAGGCGCGCAGGGGGCGATTAGAACGCGGGGCCAGAATTTAGTCGCTTGTGAGAGCTAAGAATAACTACTACTATAAAATCGAACATCTAGGCCTGGTCGCGCTAGGTTAAAAACCCTTACGCCAACATGGAAACATTAGTATTGGTGTTCCTAAACATTGGCGCAGGTCTAGAGAGTAGTAGTGCTTGAGAAATATTGCTTACTAGCTACCTAGGTATTGCAGATCGATGTCAATGTCGAGGGAACAAAGAAACCCTAGACATTGACTTCGCGATCTGCTTTTCTTCAATTTGTTGAGAGGGGAAATGTCGGGTCGGGCCAATACTCGACCCGACTTAGGGCGCGATACCCGAAACCGAGTCGGGTGCAACGGCGGGTCGGAATCCGACCCGACCCGACCCGACCCGGCCGGGTCAGCGCGTCAGAATCCCTGACCCGACCCGCCGGGGCACTATGATCATGCCTATTCAGATCCATCACCATGGACTCCGCCGACGCAGCTGCATTTACTCGTCGCGTCCTTGACCTTGCTCGTCGTCGCCTTGCTGCACTCGGTGTTGTCTATCCTGACACTGTCATCTGCTGCCACCTCCTCGGGGGTCTCACCCCTGCCTTCGATGCCCACAAGCTAGCATACATGCAGCTCCTCTCCAAGCATGACACTCCCGCTCAAGTTGCACAATGGATTATCACCACAGAAGCTGAAATCGTTCGCCATTCCTCCTCCACCGCCGCAGCAGCACAGCAGCGGGGGTGGGCGTGGAGGCGGACGTGGTGGTGGTCGAGGCGGCTCTGGCGGTCGTGGTGGTGCGGGTCGTGGTGCAGCAGCGGCCTTCCCCCCCTGTCAGTATCTTCCCCTCTATGGCCCCACTCAAGGTCAACGCTGCAACCAAACCACTCATGCAACTGATGCGTGCTACAATGCACTCAGCGATGAATGGTTCGCTCGTGGGAACTCTGGCACCCCTCCTCGCTGGTCCGCCCTTAGCCCCGCCCCACTCCCCTCGATGTCCGCACCTCTCCCCTCTCACCCCTTCCTCCTCCTCCCAGGCCCACGAGGCCTTTACTCTCCCTTCGCAACAGCAACAGCAGCAGCACCAGCAGCACCAGCACCAGCAGCAGCAGCAGCGGCAGAATGTTCAGCAGTAGGGGCCCAAATAGTACCAGCAGCAGCTCGACCTCCAGCCCCAGCTTCCTCTTTTCCCTCCTCCCTCAGTCTCCCAGCAGCAGCCGTTTCCCAGCTAGACCACCGGGAATGCGGCCTCCGCAGACCACCTCTCCGGTCCATCCCCTGCGTCGTCCACAGGTGACAGTGTGATCCCCTTTCCCTCCTTTGGCTTTGTTGGCTTGCTTAGTCAGCCTGCATCTGTTGCATCCCCTATGTATGCCTCTGCTATTAATGAAACTTCAATTTACTTCGCCGCCTCACCCTCCTCCACCCTTGAGTTCGTCCTAGACAGTGGTGCCACTGACACTGTCCTTCGCGATGCTGGTACACTCCATCCTCTTCCCACACCCACGTCCCTCCTCGGCGCTGATAGCAGCTTTTCCATCCCCTGTCACAACACATCCATCCTTCCCTGTCCTCTCTTTCCCTCAGGTACCGTCACAGGTCTTCACATTCCCTCCCTTCGCACTAACCTCCTCTCCCAAAGGTCCCTCCAACAAGCCATGATCATCACTGTCATCCGAGGTGGCGCTTACCATTGTGACCTTTACCAAACCTCCACAGGTCGTTTTCTCTCCCGTATTCTCTTCTGTCCCCGCTCCTGTCTGTACACCCTTCGGCTTCCCCGCCCCCTCACCTTCCAAGTTGCCTCCCCCCCCCTTCCCCTCCCTTCCACTAACCCACCCGTCCGCCCCCGCCCCCCTGACTCTGACTGTTCCTGTCGCTCCCTCTCCCACCCTACAATCCTCCTCCATCACAGGTTAGGTCACCCCAACTTCGCTGCTCTACGCTCTTCTGTCTCCTCAAGTCTCTTCCACAGTCTCCCCTCCTCCCTCCCTCCCCTACCCAAATCCCCTGCCCCCCCCTGCGCCGTCTGTGTTCAGAGCAAGCTCAAGCAGCAGCCGCACCAGAGCTCCCCCTCCGCTGCTGCCCAGCCACATGATCTTGTTCACATGGACCTTTTGGGGCCCTAATCTTTCTCCCACTCGCCAAGGCCATCGCTACCTTCTCGTGCTCGTCGATGATTACAGTCGGTACTCGTCCGTCTCTCTCCTTCGGACGAAGGCGGACGCCCCGACTGCAATCATTGCTTGGCTCGAACAATAAAACACCCACTTTGGGCGCCCTCTTCGCCGCGTACACTCTGATGGTGGTGGTCAGTTCCTTAACAACCAAATCTCCTCCAATTACCAGTCCTGCGGCATTCTTCAGACTTACACCCTCCCTCACTCCTTACAGCAAAACGGTGTCGCTGAGAGTCGTGTTCGGGAGATCACCAAAACGGCTCGGTGTCTTCTTGTCCACGCTAGGGATGAGCAATATGACGAACTCTTGTTCGGTTCGCCTCAAACATGTTCGAGGCGAATTGAACAGGATTTTTTTTTGGCCTAAATTGTTCGGGGCGAACGTGTTCGGTGTTCGCCCGAACACGTTCGCCGTTCGCCCGGCTCAGCTCGCCGAGGCGCGTCGAACACGAACGTGTTTGTGTTCGACACAGGCCTTCGACGAACACCAATGTGTTTGTCGACGAATAGGCCCGCGACCTAAAAATTGGTCGCGGGCCTTGGTGTTTGGGCTCAGATCTGGCCTTTCGCAGTTAGTAAAGTGCAGATCTAGCATTTTGCCGTTGCTTAAGTGCGGATCGAGCATTTCGCCGTTGCTTAAGTGCGGATCGAGCATTTCGCCGTTGCTTAAGTGCGGATCGAGCATTTCGTCGTTGCTTAAGTGCGGATCGAGCATTTCGCCATTGCTTAAGTGCGGATCGAGCATTTCGCCGTTGCTTAAGTGCAGATATAGCATTTCGCTGTTGCTTAAGTGCGGATCTAGCATTTCGCCGTTGCTTAAGTGCGGATCTAGCATTTCGCCGTTGCACGCTGGCACTAGATGGATGAAGCAGGGCGGGGCTGGCTTGGGAGGTGGGGGGAGGGAATGTGCAACGATTTGAATTTTACTCTATATTGAATTTCCCCCTGGGCGAACACGAACATGTTCGCCACGAACATGTTTGTGTTCGCCTGTTGCAGCAATTTGTTCGCCTCCTAGGGCGAACGGCGAACACCTATTTTCACTCAAGTAGTTCGAAGAACCGAACACTGTTCGGATCGGCAGAAGGCCATGTTCGTCAGGGGGCGAACTGTTCGCCCCCTGCTCATGCCTAGTCCACGCCTCATGCGCCCCTTCTCTGTGGGGCTACGCCCTCTTTCATGTCGCCCTCCTTACTAACCTTTACCCTCACCCCCTCCACCCCTCCACCACCCCCACAGAGCTATGGACAAAAGACAAACATGATGTCTCCCCTCTTCGAGTCTAGGGCTCAAATGCATATGTCCTTTTTCACCCGTCTGACCGATCCTGTTCCGTAGGAAAGCTTGCCCTTTGTACCCTTCCTTGCATCTTCCTTGGACATAACCCCTCCTCCCCCGACTACCTTTTCCTCCACCCCCCCTCCGGTCGACTAATTCGCAGTGGAGATGTCGTATTTGACGAATCCACCCCGTACTACTCCTCTCCTCCGTCCACTGACCCACTCCCCCCTCTCACCCGTCCGCTTGTGTGGCCTGACACCACCCCTCCCCCTCTACTCCCTCCTCCCCCCATCCTCCCACCCGCTCCCACTTCGCCTTCCCAGTCCCACGGTGCCCCCCCCTTAGGCATGATCATCCTGCCCCGGCGGGTCGGGTCGACCCGACCCGACCCGGGTTTTGACCCGGGTCGGGTCAGGCATTTCGAAGCGCTGACCCGGCCGGGTCGGGTCGGGTTTACCCGGTCGGGTCGGGTCGACCCGACACCCGAAACCGGGTCGGGTCGGGTCGGGTCAGATTTAGACCCGAAGTCGTACCCGACCCGGTTTCGGGTACCGCGCCCTAAGTCGGGTCAAGTATTTGGCCCAACCCGACTTTTCCTCCCTCGACAAGTTGCACTAAAGCAGATCGCGAAGTCAATGTCTAAACCCTAGACCGGAGCTGCTGTAGTAATACCTTACCTAACTGCTGCTGTAGTAGGTCATCGTCAAAGTGAAGAGGAAGAAATCGAACGCAAAGATTATTGAAGGGAAAAGCGGCCTGACATTGAGTGAGTCTGGTAGAAGTTGGCAACAAATTGGATGGGGTGAAGGTGGGTTGTGAGCGGTGGATAAGAGGGAATGACCCACCAACAATCTCGAAATTCAGATCTGAAGTTGCTTTAGCAACGCGCGAACTCAGATCTGAATTTCGAGACTCAAATTTGAGTTCGCCAGATCGCGAACTCATCTGATTTTTTTTCCAGTCAGCCCGAGCCAAATTTGGCGAATTTTAGAAAAATCCGCAGCGTACGAATTCTAGATGCGTATAAACTCGATACGCAACTTGAAACTAGCGTTTTTTCCAACTTAGGAACCTCTTACCCTGCATATGGGGTCCTGGCCCGACCCGACCCGACCCGGCCCCTACCCGACCCGACCCGGGGGCGGGTCACGCCTGACCCGGCACCCGATACCCGGGTCGGGCCAGGATTTTTTGAAGTTCCGACCCGACCCGACCCGACCCGGAACCCGGCTGGCCCGCCCAAGTCGGGTCGGGTCGGGTCGGGTCGGGCCTAATGATCATGCCTACCCCCCCTCGTCTGGTGACATCTTTGACCCGGACCCTCTGTCTTCCCTTGTCTCCCCTGCTCACTCCTCCCCCGATGCCCCTCCCCCCCCTCCCTCCCAACCCTCACCCCCCCCACCATACTCAGCCGGTATCCTCACACCAGGTCACGTGACGGTATCCTTGGTGCACCTCTCTACCTCTACCCTCCCCCCTCTCTCCCCCCTCCTTCACCACTTCTTCCAGGCCTATGATGCTAAAGACGCTCGGAGGACGCTGCGTCCTGCGTCTGGACGCAGCGTCTGGACGCTAGGACGCAAGACGCGCGTCCAGACGCAGGACGCAGCCCGAAAAATTTTCGGGCTGCCCCGAATTTTTTTTTTTTCCCCGATTACGAATTTCAATCTCGCGATTTCGACGCGAGTGTCGGAGAAGGTGCGCGACCTGGTGTTCGTGGCGCACAACTGGAAGGCTGTGCTCGGCCACCACGAGGGTGCAGTTGTTGCAGGGCCAGGTGGGGAAGTGAGGAGGGGGGGGGTAGTGGAGGGGAACATTCCCACCCCTCCCCTCCCCGAGGGGTACAGGTTGGAGGAGGATGGGGAGAGGGAGGTGGACGAGGACGACATGACGGTCGATGAGTACAAGGACCAGGATGAGAAGAAGGATAGCGAGGAGGACAGGGATGAGTGACTGGTTGCTTGCATGCAGTGCTGTGGTGGTAGTTTAGTAGTATGTATGTTCTTCAGTGATATGATAAACTGTGTATGTGACCTTGGGACATGTGTGTGACAATATGTGACTACATGACTCACCTTAATCTTGAGATTTGGGGGAAAATTTGATGTTGGGGCCAAGTTTGCCTTGAAAGTGTGGAACGTTCCCCCCCCCCCCCCTCATCCCATGCCCTATAACAATTTTTTTTGCCTGCCCGGGGGTTTTTTTTTGCCTGCCCGGGGGTTTTTTTTTGCCTGCCCGGGACTGCGTCTTTTGGTGCGTCTTTCTGGTCCTGGTGAAGCGTCCTGCGTCCGGACGCATGCGTCTGGACGCATGCGTCTGGACGCATGCGTCCAGGACGCAGGACGCGTCTTTCGCATCATAGTTCCAGGCTGTCTTGCATCAAGCCCCTCATGCAACAGCCCCCTCAGCCACCTCTCCATCCTCAGCAGCAGCAGCTCCACCAGCAGCCTCCGCAGCGGCATCCGCAGCAGCACCAGCAGCGGCACCCGCAGCGGCACCAGCAGCGGCACCCGCAGCGGCACCAACAGCGGCATGTTCAGCGGCAACAGCGACACAAGTAGCGGTGCCAGCAGCGGCATCTGCACCGGCACCAGCAGCGGCTCCAGTAGCGGCATCTGCACCGGCACCAGCAGCAGCACGTGCAGCGTCACCAGCGGCCATCCGCGCCTTCCACACCTCCCTCTCTGAGGACTCCCATTAGGAGTTCCTTGACCTCCACCTCTGTATCCCCTCCCTTCTACCCATCACCTTCGACCTCTCTGGAACACCAGTCTTCGCCTTTTCCTCTGCTCCCTCCATTTTCATGCCTACCATGTATGAGGAGGCCATGGCTTGCCCCGAGGCCCCACTCGGGCTCGCTGCCATCATCAAGGAGCTGGAGGCCTTTGTCGCCAACTCCTCCTTCGTTGATGTGCCTCGTCCCCCCCCCTCTTCGAACGTGGTGAAGGGGAAGTGGGTGTTTCGCGTTAAACAACTACCAAGAGAGCCGCCCGTCTACAAGGCCTGGTATTGTGCCAAGGGTTTCACACAGCGGTATGCTGTTGACTTCCTCGACACTTTCTCCCCGACCGCCAAGCCTGCTACCGTTCGCACCGTACTTGACCTCGCCACTCGCCTCAAAATGGAGATCCACTCGGTGGATGTCTCCATCGCCTTCCTGCAAGGCGTGCTACGTGAACTAATCTACATCGACCCGTGTACGGGCTCCGCCCGGCACCCAGGGAGTGGCATGCCAAGCTTGCAGCCACCCTTGCCGAGCTTGGGTTTCGCACCTCCCGCTATGGCGCTAGCCTCTTCCTCCGCACCTCCCTCGTCTATGTTGACGACATGATCCTCCTCACTGCCAACCTTGCCGAGTTCGAGAGTGTCAAGGCGGAGCTGGGCAGCCGTCTCAAGTGCAAAGACCTGGGAGAGCTGCAGCACTACCTCGGCATGACCATCACTCGCGACCGCTCCGCCCGCAACTCTTGGACCGGTTTGAAGTGGCGCGCGGTAACCCCCAGCCCACTCTCCTCTCGGATAAGGACCACCTCTCCCCACCCTCCTCTCCCTCCCATCCTTACCCTGAACTCATCGGTTCTCTCATGTACGCCTATGATGCGAAAGACGCACGAAGGACGCACATCGAATTTTTTTTCGGGCTGCCCCGAAAAAAAAAATCCTGATCACAAAATTCACATTCGCGATTTCGACGCGATTGTCGAAATCGCGAAATTTCGAACCCCCCTTAGCACAAACGCACTATTTCGTCACCCTTTGGGATAACCATTACTTTAAAACGGTTAACTAACACTAAAACCTAAGTTTTGGAACGAGCTAGGTGAGAGATGGCATGATGAGAAGCTAGGGGTGAGCTGAGCTTGTGCTAGAGCTTGAACAAAATGTCGCGCAGCTCAAATTTGACCCCCACGACATTTGTCGCGGGGGTCAAATCCCCCCAAGAATGAGATCTGACGAATTAGAACAAAAACCGCATTTCACCGCACTGAACCTAGAATTTCCAACCAGTCTATCAACTCCCATCCCAGGTCAACCAGATCTGGCCGCATTTGTTGGCCTGAAATATAGTCGACAGCGTAATCAACTTTTAGGGTTTTCTCGACTAGCTTATAAGTAGAGCTGACGAAGCAAGGGAAATAGGCGGGCCAGGACAGCCCGACCTGCCCCCGTGCTCATCTAGGGCCTATAACAAATTTTTTTGCCTGCCCAGGGGGGGTTTTTGCCCTACCCGGGCTTGCGTCTTTTGGTGCGTCTTTCTGGTCCTGGTGCTACGTCATGCGTCTGGACGCATGCATCCAGGGCGCAGGACGCGTCTTTCGCAACATAGATGTACGCCATGGTTTCCACTCGCCCTGACCGTCCTCACTCGCTTCGTTGGCGCTGGCAAGCATACGGAAGAGCACTGGCAGGTGGCCAAGCGCGTCCTTCGCTACATATGTGGCACCAAGGACTAAGTACTTACCTTTGGCGGCCCTTCCCCGCCCCTCTTCAGCGGGTACAGCGACTCTTCTTGGGCTGACTCTTGGCCGAATTGGCCGTCCTCTCAGGGTTATGGCTTCTCTCTGGGTAGCGGTCTCATCAGCTGGCGGTCCACACACCTCTCTGCCGTCGCCCTCTCCTCCTGCGAGGCAGACCTCTACGCTGCAACCATGGCCGCGCAAGAGGCATGCCCGCTCACCTTCCTCCTTGATGAGCTTGGTGCCCCCCAACGCTGTCCCACCATCTGATGTGACAACGCCAGCATCGTTCACCTTACCAAGGATGCTGTGTATCATGGGTGCTCCAAACACATTGAGCTTCGCTACTTCTTCATTCGTGATCTCGTTGAGGCCAGGCACCTTCGCCTTGGCAAAATCGACTCGACGGCCAACTTCGCCGACATCTTCACCAAAGCCCTTCCCCAGGCGTCCCACTCATTCCTTCTGCATCTACTTGGCCTCAACCCTCCTCCGGTTTTGGCGGCCTCCTGATTACATCTTGTAGCCTTACGCATGTTGGAGGGTTGTGTTGTAATTGTATATTATATACAACATACATAGACTAGAATAGGTGTAGTCACTTATGTTCTTGGAGGGTTGGATGTACACTCCAACCACACTTTGTGCTTGGTCAAGATTGGATTTGGTCATGGTCCATGGTTGGCACTTGCCAACTTTTGGTGCTTAGACCAACCAATCCCAACCTAGCTACATTGTAAGGTTTCTTACTCCACAAGGCACCTCACCCATTGGCCAACTTAGTGGCCAATAGGGTTAGCTCCTCTTCCACTCTTCTCTTTCTTGCATGCTTGTATTATAGAGACTTGTTGGCTCACTACTCAATACAATCTTGAACTGTCACAATGGGGTGTAACCATGTAGGAAATTGTGTAACCATGTAACTGTGTACGCACATAGTAAGGAGCCCATTCAAGTGTGCGCCGGATCCCTCCCTCCCTTTGCCTGCCAACCAGTGCTGCAGGCCAGAAATCCCACACACCTGAGGCCTACACCAGGCCTACATGAGCCTTACACCAGGCCTACATGAGGCTTACACCAGGCCTACATCAGGCCTACATCAGGCAGTGGGGAGACAACTGAACTTAACTCATCCTCCCATACTTCAAACTTCCATTCCAGCACCTCATGCGGGCATGCAACACTACAGGCATGAAATCTCACACACCGAAGGCCAACATTAGGCAGTGGGGAGACAACACTGCAACCTTGATCCATGCAAAATGCAGTCCATCATCCTCCCATGCTTCAACCTTCCACCCCAGCACCTCATGCGGGCATGCAACGCTGCAGATGCTGATAAGATAAGAAGATAAGCAGAGAAGCATACCTGTGGGTACTTTTTCCCAAGCTCCTCACACGTGTCGAGCTACTCACAGGTGATAAAGTAATGCAAGGGTAATTTCCCCTATAATACGCTCAAAACAGGGATGAAGGCACCTGAACTCACCCTCCCCCACTCAAACTTCCTCCCCAGCACGTTGTAAGGTCACTCCAACAGTTCACCCCCCCTCCACTTGGAACGTCCACCCCAGCACCTCTTAAGGCCACTCAAACAACGCACCTTCTCCGACCTCAAAGCTCCACCCCAGCACCTCGTGCGCCTGAGCCTGCTCCGCCCCCTTGCCCGTGGCTGCTGTGAATCCCACAAACAGCGGCGGGGGGGGCGCTGCTGCCTGCGGGTCGCTCCCCCCCAGCCACTCGCAGGTGTCCAGGAACATGGAGAGGACAGCAGAGCGCGGGAGAGGAGGGGAGGTGGGGGAGGAAGAGCGAGAGGAGGAGGGGGCGGGGGAGAGGTAGACGGTGAGGTGGGAGGAGGAGGCGTTGTACTGGATGGTGGCGAGGAGGGTTTGACCGGCGTTGAGGGAGGGAATGCCGAGGGGGTGCACGGGGACAGAGGCGAGAGAGAGCATGCTGCCGCGCAGGTTCACCCCCACGTGGTGGTCGGGGCGGTCCCAGAACTGAGGAGAAGAGGACGTGTCGAATTCCACTGCCAGGCTCCGCTGCTGCTGTGGATGGTGGGGAAGGGGTAGGCACGGTCTGTTAAGACACATGTGTCAAACTCCACTGCCAGGCTCCACTGCTGCTGTGGATGGGGGGAGGGAGGGGGGGGGGCAGCAAAGGGCAGCAGCAGATTAAGACAACCGCAGAAGCGCAAAGCAGCAGCAAAAAGGAGCAAGAAATGCAGAGGAAGACCAGCGGACAATTTACAGGGAAGACGAAAGGCGAGAGACGGAAGACAAAAACACCACGGGAGGCCGATGGAAGGCGAACGAGAAGGAAAAGATGATATCAATGAGCATACCTCCTCTTGGAACGCCGAGCGAGGGCAATGGTATCATTACAATAGCTAAGCCACGCTGGGTGAAAGCTACTTTTGAGAATTCTCAAAAGTCAAATATCAATGAGCATACCTCCTCCTCTTGGTAGGCCGAGCGAGGGCAATGGTATCATTACAAAAGCTAAGCCCTGCTGGCCTATCCCCATCACATTGGGAGGAAGGAGCTGTTCCTGAGGTAACACGTACCTGAGATGACATGTACCTGAGATGACATGTACCTGAGATGACACGTACCTGAGATGGCACGTCACTGGAAGAATTATCAGCGCCAGTCGTGCTCTCCGGGGGCAGCAGCACACGGCCGTAGCCCAAAGAGGGCCCTGGCAGGCCGAGCATGGGCGTCGGTAGCATCACAAACGCCAAGCCCTCGCCGCCCAGCCCAGCGGCATTGGGGGAGGAGATGCGGAAGGCGAAGGAGGTGGAGAAGGAGAAGGGGCGGCAGGGGGAGGCGGGCGTGGCGGGGGCGAGCAGGGCAAAGGGGGCAGGGTGCAGCGCGAGAGCAGCAGCGTTGAGGTCAGAGAGCGTGGTGAGGGCGAGGGAGGATGAATTGTGGCGAGCTGAGCCGGCTGTGAGGAGCGGATGGGCTCTGGAGAGCGGCCATTGGGAGAAGGACTTGAGTGGGGAAGGATCGGCTGCAGGGAAGTGACAGGGATGGGGAGTGGGGGGGAAGGGCGGCAGGGGGGAGGGGAGGGGATGGGGAAGGAAGGGAGGGGGAATGAGTGAGTCTTGGGTGTTGGAGAGCCATTGGGAGGAGGACTTGAGAGGGGAGGGGTTGGCTGCAGGGCAGTGACAGGGATGGGGAGTGGGGGGAAGGGAGGGAGGAGGTGAACGGGAAGTGGGATTGTGAGTAGACGTGCAATGAGAAATCGATGATGCACTTGAGTGGGAGTTGAGCATGTGTGCAGCGCATGCTTTCAGCCAGCTATACCTGGGACACACCTGTGACCCTGCCAACCATTTCTGCCTCTCTGACTCACTGCGGGTAGGCATGACAGACGCAAGGTCGATAGCCGTGCTCCCCGCTCCTGCTCCTCCTCCCGCTTCCGACGCCACGTCCACTCGCTTTACCGCCGCCGCCTTCACTCTCGCTCCCTCTCCTGCTCCTCCTCCTCCCATACTCGCAGCAACAGTGGCGCTGGTGGCGCCGATGCTACTGCTCTCACTGCCGCTGGCAGCTACGCTGCTTGTGGCGGTGGCAATACCACTGGTGGTGGTAACGGTGGCAGTGCCGCTCGTGCTGTTACTGCTGCTGTTACTGTCTTGCACACCTCGAATCACCAAGTGCAGCGTCACTCCCCCTGGGGGCACTACCAGCGAGGAAGGAGAGGAGGCGGAGGAAGAAGAGGAGGAGGAATCTGGGGGGTCAGGGAGGGGGAAGAGGAGGGGTCCCACGTGGAACCAAGGCAAGGCGCTGGACAAACTCGCGCTGCTTCCCCCACACGGCACACCCACCCGCCACTCTGCCCACACCTGCTCCCCCGCTCCTCCTTCCCCCGCCCCTCCCCCAGCAGCTGCATCTCCCCCTGCTGTGGCGGCGGCGGAGGCGTTCAGCGGAACTGCCAGCAGCAGCACCCTCAACAGCCGCTCTGCCTCCCCTTCCGCGCCCCCTTCCCCCTCCGCGCACAGGCTGGCCCGCGCAAAGAACGAGAGCGACAGCTGGCGCGGGGACTGCTGCTGCTGCTGCTGCGCCTGCTGTGACTCGTTGCTGGTCAACGATGCGGCGGGTTTGAGTTTGCACAGCGCTTGCGTCACGCCTGGGCTGCCAAACGCGCTACTGCTATTGTTAGTACTATCATTGCTACTACCAGAAGCACCGTCGCCACTAGACGACGCGGAAAAAGCGGAAGTCAGCTGTAGAAAACGGGACCCGTCAGCTGCCAGAAGAGTGTCCGTGACTCCCGTGACCCCATCCGCTATTGTCACGTCAGCAGGCGATGCCGTTACTTCTGCTGTCGCGGCCACGGCTTCCACCAGTGTCGCACCCGCTGGAGTGAGCAATGCTCCGCGGTTTGCGCCGCCAAATGCGGCGGTGGCTAAGAACTCGTCGGTTGAGAGTGTCTCCCCAGGTTCCAACGCGCGCCACGGGAATAAGTACGGCCATGGATCGCACGACGCGTTCAGCTTCTTGTGACGCCATCCTGTATCGAGACAGCTTGTATCGAAGCTTGGGTTTGAGAGGAAGTTTGACGATTCACCTGTTCCGGCCAAAGAAGGTATAATGGAAGTGAGTTGGAGATATTTAGGGTAATATAGTGGAGAACCGTCATTGCAAGTATGCTTAAGACTCGACTGCTTCGTATATCGACGAAACCGTCAACGGCGGTGATACCTGAGAACGGGAGAAGCGGAGCCTCTTACTTGGATTGTTTAGGTTACGGCAGTCGACGAGACCATCAGCGACACGAACGAAGGCTACGAGATAGAGGAGAAACGTAACCCGTCGGGAAATCGCGACATGAAGAAGACATATGGCTCCTGGTTGAACCCGCAATTTGCGGCGAGAGATTCGGCTGGAATTCATCGGCTACGTTTCTCGGAGATATTGTTCCCTAAACATACTACTTTTCCCGATAGGTTGCCATAGAAAAACATTTCCTCCACAGAGTCTGCTGTTTTGGCGGCAAGGGGCACTCTGAACGAGGGAGGGATCGGACGTTCCATTCCGAGAGAATCCCGGATTAACACTTGATATTCCGAGTCGGCCTGTCCCGCGACTGCTTCGGTTATTACACTAAAAGCAGCAACGAGCACCACAGTTGTGGTACTGTACGAACGAACGTTTACGAGAGCGGTGCACTCGCGTGTACCAGGTGACAATCTCTCGACCACTCGCCAGTTTCCATCTGGGGTGGGTGGGGACAGTAGTTGCCTGCCCGCAGTTTAGTCCGCCCGCCCCCACGGTTCGTTCGTCAATGTGCCAACGTGTGGTCCACGACGGTACGCGTGTAGTCTTCTTGAGCAAAAACTTTGAGGAAATGACAGAGCGCCGTGTTTTCAAATTTCCAATTCCAATGGGCAGTGGTTTTGACAGCGCATTGCTCTGCGCTCGCGTCCAATACCTTGGGGCATATTCTTTCTCAGTTTCCCCTTTTAAGTCCACAAATACAAGTTGTTTTTAGGTTACGGTGTATTGAAAATGTATCGTCGAGTCCATGGCAAACGCTCAGCTCGGGACAAAAAATTATAACCCTCATGGATGGTATGCCACGAAGAGAGCATCAACCCTAAACACCATGAGGCAAGGTGTTTAGGGTTGATGCCTACCAAATGGCTTGTCATCTGAGTGGGTTTTAGTTTTTTCCACTGGCCTCTATACTGAACCCACGTAAACTCAATATTTGCCCTTCTACGTCTGGTCATGAAAAACGGAAAACAGCAATATAAACGGACCGCGAGAATTGGGCGCGAGCGCGGTGGGAGTCGCTGTCAAAGCCACTGCCGAAAGGAATCGAAAACGCGCAAACACGGCGGTCCGTCATTTCCTCAAAAACTTTGTTCGCATGCGACAGGGATGGATGGGACCCGAGTCGCGAGCCATAGGTTTCGAACCTGAGTAAACGACAGATGTGTTACTGACGTCACGGTTCAGGGTGTACCAGTCATACACCTTACAAGAAAACGCTGCTAGCACAGTACACCTTACAAAGATGTATATGTTTACATAGGCCCCCAAACTTCCTCTGATCCTTTTGACCTTTCTCATCCGTCCAATCTGTCGGTTTCTGATCATACGGTTTTTTATGCTAGTCATCCATGCCCCTTTTTCTGGGTTTTTCCAATCTACCCTTCTGCCCGTTACTTCCTGTGCACTGTCAGAAGACGTCCCAGTAGCATAACCATAGGTGGTACGGTAGGAGCAGTAGAAGCAGCATTAAACATTGGAAGCAGCTGCACCAGCAGCAACATCAGGAGCTGTAGCACCGGCAGCAGATGCAATTTAGCAAGGTAATGGACAGCAAAAGCAATGAAACCGTCCCCTGAGCAGCTGAGTGTTGCTGAGCGGACCTTGATGGAGAGAAAAAAAAAGGGTGGCAGGGAGGGAGGCAGGCAGAGAGGCTGTAAATGGGGCTATTGGATTGGGGGGGGGTGGGGGTAGGGGGGAGGGGGGGGGGGACAAAGTGGTGACAGCGGATGAGAGAGAGGGGGTTGATGGATGAATAGAAGCAGAGAAGGGGCGACTCGGTCCGTAAGAGGAGAGGAAAGGTTGTTGGAAGTAGAGGAGGGGCGAGTGGTGATATGAGAAAGGTTAATCTATCAACTGAGGTTTCTCCTAACGATGATGGAGAAGCAGATGAAGGGGAGGGAGACCTGCAGCAGAAAGTGAACCACCGCCAGCACCAGCACTACCAACAGCAGTAGCAGCAATAGCAGAGTCGTTTCAGGGAGGGGTAGGGACGAACGAGCATTGGAAGAAGCTGCAGTTAACTGGAGTGGAGTGTTGGTCCCGCCCTTGCTTGGGAAACGCCAGCGACTTGGTCAGATGTACGGGAGAAGCAGCCGACCGTTCACAGTGGGAGAGCTGCTCGACGGGCTTCATCGAGCTGCAGGGGACCGCTGTGGTGTTGCCGTCAACCAAGAGTGTTCGACGGCCTTCTTCTGCAGGACAGGTCGACGAGGTGGCTCTCGATCTGTACAGGTCTCTCAAGGGGCTGGAGCGGTCGACCAGCGAGCTCGACAGCTGCAGCTGACTAGGCTGGGCGATGGGTGGGCCGTCGACCAGGAGGAACAGTTCGGCCGGGAGGTCGACGGAGCAGTCCGTCGAGCTGACAAGTGAGCAGCGCTTGACGAGGGGAGCTTGGCGACAACTGCTGACGGTTCTGGTCGACGGAAGGGGTCCGTCGACCACGGGGTAGCTCGACAGGAGCTGTGGTCGACCAGAGGCACCTGGTGGTCGACCAGCGGCACCTGGTGGTCGGCCGGAGGCTCCTGGTGGTCGACCAGAGCACTGGGTGGTCGACTAGGCTGACTGGGTAACCTGCTCGACGAGTTCTGCGGAGGCACGTGAACACCGTCGAAATAGCGATGACAAAGGCGACTTTGGGCTGGTATCTCGAAGTCGATGTGGCTCGTCATGCGCAGACAACAGCCGACGGATGCCCAACAGGGCAAATCGGGCCAATCGTCTGCGCGCACCTGCAAGCATGCGCACTGCTGTCTTCTACGGGGCAATGCTGGACAGCCACTTTGCTGTAGCGTTGGTACGCCGTTGACCTGCTCCGTTGGCAGGTCGCCCTTCTGCAGTGCTGGCGCGGCTCCTCTATGCAACGCTGGCAGTGCGGTCGACCATGCAATGCTGGCGGTCGACTAGGCTAGCTGCAGGGTTGCTAGGTGCCTGATCTAGTCATTTTTGTCATTGTGAACTCTATCATTCTGCAATTCCAACTTTGCTAGTGAAACTCTTGCCAACTTCTCCCGTTAATGCACAAGTACTAAGGAACGCAAGCAAAGCTACGATCACTCCTAGTAGTTCGTGCCTACCCCCCCCCCCGTAGCCTAGCTCACTACCTTTGTAGGGTGACTCTTCGCATGGTGCAGTGAGCATAGACAACCCCACAAATTACCTTCAGTTAGGAGCTGACTTTTGCACCTACGAAGTCGTTCGTAGGCCGACAACAGCAATACTCACCGTCGTCGACCCCGTAGCTGATGCGGGTGTAGCGGACACCTTGGAGGCACGCTTTGCTGATGCGAGGAAATGCTACGTAGATGGCGAGTATGGGACGATCCCCTTACTGATCATCGAGTTGGGCATCCGGTCGCAGTGGGTGACGGAACACCCTTCCCGTCCTGCATCTCCTCGACCGGTGCGCAACGAAGGTGGCGTCGACGACGAGGTCGACGGTGGTGCACGAGTCAGCAGCAGCGAAGGCACGAAGCAGAGAGGGGTGATCAAGGTCGGCGGTGGCGTTAACAGGATTCAGGCCCGAGTGCAGCGTCGACGCCGGCTGCAGGCAGCTCGCGTGTCGACGTCGATGTTTGACGTCGCTCTCTTCTACGAAGCGGTGGAGGGATCTCGGCGACGACGCATGCGACGGGGGGCGGGATTGCATCGGCGTATGGCTACTTCAAGTTCTCGCCGGACTAGATCACCGTCGCACCCCTGTAAGGTCGACGGGACCTCATCACCTGGAGGGAGTCGATAGAACCTCAGTTGGAGGGCACCAAGCTGAAGGGTTTCGTCGACGGCACCGTACCCATTCCTCCCAAGGAGGATGTCGAGCCGCGCAGGGAGTTTCGTGCTGCTCACGTGCTCACCTTGATGGCCATCTCAAGGTGTTGCTCGCCTGTGGTGCAGCTAGCGCTCAGGAGCTGTCGAGAGCGACTAGATGCTAGTCATCATGCATGGCACTTCATCCTGTCGACGTACTAGGTGAAGGACGACCTGTACACTGGCCAACTGGAGGAGAAGATGACACACATTCGGATGGGCGAGCAGGATTCGGCGACGGACTACTGCAACCGTGCTCGACGGATCCTGGCTGAGATGCAGATGGGAGCCTAATGCTCGACGGCGTCCTACATCAGACACATCCTCAAGGGCCTGCCGCGTGGCTACAACCTCATGAAGAGGATGATGATGGTGTTCGGCCTGCGTGAGTCCCTCGACGAGGACTCCATCACCAGCTACATCCTTCAAGACGAGGCAATGCAGGAGGCAGAACAGCCCACGGAGCTCCTTCCGTAGGCAAATTACGCTGCACCGACGAAGCCGAATCAGCAGCAAGGGTAGCGCGGGAAGCAGGGCGGAGGGGGTAGCGGAGGTGGGTGGTCGACAAAGGACGTCGACGAGAAGAGGTCGGCGCGGGGCAAGGGCCGTGGAGGTGGTGGTCGACAACAGGAGTGCTGGATCTGCGGCGACCCCGACCATCTTTCCTACGAGTTCCCCGACCGCAGCGACAGGGACGAGGACGACACCAAGGGAGGCCGTGGCCAGTCGACCAGCCTTCGCCCCCGTCGAGACGAGAAGCCGCGCAAGGAGAAGCAGACGTCGAAGAAGACGTCGTCGACGAAGGACGTCGACACCTACAGCGGCAAGGGCCAAGGCGACGGGGAGGCGTCGTGCTCGATGGTCGGCGTGGTGGAGCCGATAGTCTCACTGGCACCGGAGGCTGACGAGGACTTCCAGGCGGTGGCGACAGCTATGCAGGCCAACCCGATGGTGGTGCTGCTTGACAACGGGTGCTCCCTCCACCTGATGTGGACGAAGGCGGTCTTCGTCGACATGGCACCGAGCGACGATGTGAAGCACGTGCGTGGATTCAACAGG